AGTAAATGCATCAAGTCAGCCAGTGTGTTATTGTGCAACACAATCCACCGCCTGGAAATTCAGAGATGGAACGCACCATGAGACTTTCCCTTCTTCAACAGTACTTCACTTCCGTGACACCAGTCACATCTCAAAGTCACTCCACACACATCAGTTCGGTCTCTGTGGCGCAATTGGTTAGCGCGTTCGGCTGTTAACCGAAAGGTTGGTGGTTCGAGCCCACCCAGGGACGCACTTGTGTTTTGTCAACTTGAATGACTGATATTTCTCCCTTTCACGTTTTACAGATGAACACTGTGAGCGCAAATACCTGCTACAATATGCCGATATCAACTTCAAGCTAGCTCATGATACAAAGAAGATATTTATTAATGTCAGCTCGTCATCTCTTAAACATCCTAATCTACAACACCAACTTTCACACGCACAATAGGAAAAAAGTCTAGTGGTAACTCGTTTTACATTTCCCTCATCTGTCAGCTTCCAATGTGGTCTAGTGGTTAGGATTCCTGGCTTTCACCCAGGCGGCCCGGGTTCGATTCCCGGCATTGGAACAATTTCTTTTCCATCTGACAAGAAAATGAGCTCAACTTGAATAATTATACTTTTCTCATTTTCACAATCATAAGTAAAAAGCATGCATTTCTAGTCATCCATGTAAGTGCATCGATGACCTAACGTCCACATCTTCCAGTAAATGCATCAAGTCAGCCAGTGTGTTATTGTGCAACACAATCCACCGCCTGGAAATTCAGAGATGGAACGCACCATGAGACTTTCCCTTCTTCAACAGTAATTCACTTCCGTGACACCAGTCACATCTCAAAGTCACTCCACACACATCAGTTCGGTCTCTGTGGGGAAATTGTTAGCGCGTTCGGCTGTTAACCGAAAGGTTGGTGGTTCGAGCCCACCCAGGGACGCACTTGTGTTTTGTCAACTTGAATGACTGATATTTCTCCCTTTCACGTTTTACAGATGAACACTGTGAGCGCAAATACCTGCTACAATATGCCGATATCAACTTCAAGCTAGCTCATGATACAAAGAAGATATTTATTAATGTCAGCTCGTCATCTCTTAAACATCCTAATCTACAACACCAACTTTCACACGCACAATAGGAATAAAGTCTAGTGGTAACTCGTTTTACATTTCCCTCATCTGTCAGCTTCCAATGTGGTCTAGTGGTTAGGATTCCTGGCTTTCACCCAGGCGGCCCGGGTTCGATTCCCGGCATTGGAACAATTTCTTTTCCATCTGACAAGAAAATGAGCTCAACTTGAATAATTATACTTTTCTCATTTTCACAATCATAAGTAAAAAGCATGCATTTCTAGTCATCCATGTAAGTGCATCGATGACCTAACGTCCACATCTTCCAGTAAATGCATCAAGTCAGCCAGTGTGTTATTGTGCAACACAATCCACCGCCTGGAAATTCAGAGATGGAACGCACCATGAGACTTTCCCTTCTTCAACAGTACTTCACTTCCGTGACACCAGTCACATCTCAAAGTCACTCCACACACATCAGTTCGGTCTCTGTGGCGCAATTGGTTAGCGCGTTCGGCTGTTAACCGAAAGGTTGGTGGTTCGAGCCCACCCAGGGACGCACTTGTGTTTTGTCAACTTGAATGACTGATATTTCTCCCTTTCACGTTTTACAGATGAACACTGTGAGCGCAAATACCTGCTACAATATGCCGATATCAACTTCAAGCTAGCTCATGATACAAAGAAGATATTTATTAATGTCAGCTCGTCATCTCTTAAACATCCTAATCTACAACACCAACTTTCACACGCACAATAGGAATAAAGTCTAGTGGTAACTCGTTTTACATTTCCCTCATCTGTCAGCTTCCAATGTGGTCTAGTGGTTAGGATTTCTGGCTTTCACCCAGGCGGCCCGGGTTCGATTCCCGGCATTGGAACAATTTCTTTTCCATCTGACAAGAAAATGAGCTCAACTTGAATAATTATACTTTTCTCATTTTCACAATCATAAGTAAAAAGCATGCATTTCTAGTCATCCATGTAAGTGCATCGATGACCTAACGTCCACATCTTCCAGTAAATGCATCAAGTCAGCCAGTGTGTTATTGTGCAACACAATCCACCGCCTGGAAATTCAGAGATGGAACGCACCATGAGACTTTCCCTTCTTCAACAGTACTTCACTTCCGTGACACCAGTCACATCTCAAAGTCACTCCACACACATCAGTTCGGTCTCTGTGGCGCAATTGGTTAGCGCGTTCGGCTGTTAACCGAAAGGTTGGTGGTTCGAGCCCACCCAGGGACGCACTTGTGTTTTGTCAACTTGAATGACTGATATTTCTCCCTTTCACGTTTTACAGATGAACACTGTGAGCGCAAATACCTGCTACAATATGCCGATATCAACTTCAAGCTAGCTCATGATACAAAGAAGATATTTATTAATGTCAGCTCGTCATCTCTTAAACATCCTAATCTACAACACCAACTTTCACACGCACAATAGGAATAAAGTCTAGTGGTAACTCGTTTTACATTTCCCTCATCTGTCAGCTTCCAATGTGGTCTAGTGGTTAGGATTTCTGGCTTTCACCCAGGCGGCCCGGGTTCGATTCCCGGCATTGGAACAATTTCTTTTCCATCTGACAAGAAAATGAGCTCAACTTGAATAATTATACTTTTCTCATTTTCACAATCATAAGTAAAAAGCATGCATTTCTAGTCATCCATGTAAGTGCATCGATGACCTAACGTCCACATCTTCCAGTAAATGCATCAAGTCAGCCAGTGTGTTATTGTGCAACACAATCCACCGCCTGGAAATTCAGAGATGGAACGCACCATGTGACTTTCCCTTCTTCAACAGTAATTCACTTCCGTGACACCAGTCACATCTCAAAGTCACTCCATACACATCAATTCGGTCTCTGTGGCGCAATTGGTTAGCGCGTTCGGCTGTTAACCGAAAGGTTGGTGGTTCGAGCCCACCCAGGGACGCACTTGTGTTTTGTCAACTTGAATGACTGATATTTCTCCCTTTCACGTTTTACAGATGAACACTGTGAGCGCAAATACCTGCTACAATATGCCGATATCAACTTCAAGCTAGCTCATGATACAAAGAAGATATTTATTAATGTCAGCTCGTCATCTCTTAAACATCCTAATCTACAACACCAACTTTCACACGCACAATAGGAATAAAGTCTAGTGGTAACTCGTTTTACATTTCCCTCATCTGTCAGCTTCCAATGTGGTCTAGTGGTTAGGATTTCTGGCTTTCACCCAGGCGGCCCGGGTTCGATTCCCGGCATTGGAACAATTTCTTTTCCATCTGACAAGAAAATGAGCTCAACTTGAATAATTATACTTTTCTCATTTTCACAATCATAAGTAAAAAGCATGCATTTCTAGTCATCCATGTAAGTGCATCGATGACCTAACGTCCACATCTTCCAGTAAATGCATCAAGTCAGCCAGTGTGTTATTGTGCAACACAATCCACCGCCTGGAAATTCAGAGATGGAACGCACCATGAGACTTTCCCTTCTTCAACAGTACTTCACTTCCGTGACACCAGTCACATCTCAAAGTCACTCCATACACATCAGTTCGGTCTCTGTGGCGCAATTGGTTAGCGCGTTCGGCTGTTAACCGAAAGGTTGGTGGTTCGAGCCCACCCAGGGACGCACTTGTGTTTTGTCAACTTGAATGACTGATATTTCTCCCTTTCACGTTTTACAGATGAACACTGTGAGCGCAAATACCTGCTACAATATGCTGATATCAACTTCAAGCTAGCTCATGATACAAAGAAGATATTTATTAATGTCAGCACGTCATCTCTTAAACATCCTAATCTACAACACCAACTTTCACACGCACAATAGGAATAAAGTTTAGTGGTAACTCGTTTTACATTTCCCTCATCTGTCAGCTTCCAATGTGGTCTAGTGGTTAGGATTCCTGGCTTTCACCCAGGCGGCCCGGGTTCGATTCCCGGCATTGGAACAATTTCTTTTCCATCTGACAAGAAAATGAGCTCAACTTGAATAATTATACTTTTCTCATTTTCACAATCATAAGTAAAAAGCATGCATTTCTAGTCATCCATGTAAGTGCATCGATGACCTAACGTCCACATCTTCCAGTAAATGCATCAAGTCAGCCAGTGTGTTATTGTGCAACACAATCCACCGCCTGGAAATTCAGAGATGGAACGCACCATGAGACTTTCCCTTCTTCAACAGTAATTCACTTCCGTGACACCAGTCACATCTCAAAGTCACTCCACACACATCAGTTCGGTCTCTGTGGCGAAATTGTTAGCGCGTTCGGCTGTTAACCGAAAGGTTGGTGGTTCGAGCCCACCCAGGGACGCACTTGTGTTTTGTCAACTTGAATGACTGATATTTCTCCCTTTCACGTTTTACAGATGAACACTGTGAGCGCAAATACCTGCTACAATATGCCGATATCAACTTCAAGCTAGCTCATGATACAAAGAAGATATTTATTAATGTCAGCTCGTCATCTCTTAAACATCCTAATCTACAACACCAACTTTCACACGCACAATAGGAATAAAGTCTAGTGGTAACTCGTTTTACGTTTCCCTCATCTGTCAGCTTCCAATGTGGTCTAGTGGTTAGGATTCCTGGCTTTCACCCAGGCGGCCCGGGTTCGATTCCCGGCATTGGAACAATTTCTTTTCCATCTGACAAGAAAATGAGCTCAACTTGAATAATTATACTTTTCTCATTTTCACAATCATAAGTAAAAAGCATGCATTTCTAGTCATCCATGTAAGTGCATCGATGACCTAACGTCCACATCTTCCAGTAAATGCATCAAGTCAGCCAGTGTGTTATTGTGCAACACAATCCACCGCCTGGAAATTCAGAGATGGAACGCACCATGAGACTTTCCCTTCTTCAACAGTACTTCACTTCCGTAACACCAGTCACATCTCAAAGTCACTCCATACACATCAGTTCGGTCTCTGTGGCGCAATTGGTTAGCGCGTTCGGCTGTTAACCGAAAGGTTGGTGGTTCGAGCCCACCCAGGGACGCACTTGTGTTTTGTCAACTTGAATGACTGATATTTCTCCCTTTCACGTTTTACAGATGAACACTGTGAGCGCAAATACCTGCTACAATATGCCGATATCAACTTCAAGCTAGCTCATGATACAAAGAAGATATTTATTAATGTCAGCTCGTCATCTCTTAAACATCCTAATCTACAACACCAACTTTCACACGCACAATAGGAATAAAGTCTAGTGGTAACTCGTTTTACATTTCCCTCATCTGTCAGCTTCCAATGTGGTCTAGTGGTTAGGATTCCTGGCTTTCACCCAGGCGGCCCGGGTTCGATTCCCGGCATTGGAACAATTTCTTTTCCATCTGACAAGAAAATGAGCTCAACTTGAATAATTATACTTTTCTCATTTTCACAATCATAAGTAAAAAGCATGCATTTCTAGTCATCCATGTAAGTGCACCGATGACCTAACGTCCACATCTTCCAGTAAATGCATCAAGTCAGCCAGTGTGTTATTGTGCAACACAATCCACCGCCTGGAAATTCAGAGATGGAACGCACCATGAGACTTTCCCTTCTTCAACAGTACTTCACTTCCGTGACACCAGTCACATCTCAAAGTCACTCCTCAAGGTTGGTGGTTCGAGCCCACCCAGGGACGCACTTGTGTCTTGTCAACTTGAATGACTGATATTTCTCCCTTTCACGTTTTACAGATGAACACTGTGAGCGCAAATACCTGCTACAATATGCTGATATCAACTTCAAGGTAGCTCATGATACAAAGAAGATATTTATTAATGTCAGCTCGTCATCTCTTAAACATCCTAATCTACAGATTTATTTTTTCATGGACGAAATGTTTGAGCCTGACCCCTGATTTTTTTGTTTGACTACCAAATGAAGGGACAAATTTCATTGTGGTTTCAGATAGCCTGATGTCCATAATACATGAAATCAAGTGCTGGACATCCAACATGTCCAGCTAAATGTCATTTTGGCCGCCAATTTCAAGATGGCCGCCTTTTATTTTCCAATTTGTTCCCAATTTCAGAAATAAGCATGAAAATAAGAGTTTACTATTCCAAGACAACTTTTGTGTAATGAAAGGGTGTCAGGCACTAAATCCAAACATTTTGATATACAATTTGTTTGGTTTTGTGTAATAAATGTTTCTCTGTGATCAGATTATATTGAAAAATCTATTGTTTTTTTAATATTTTTCATCATTCAAAGACAGTAAGAATTTGTTTCTTCAATGTTATGACTATAAATAGCCTTAAAAAATTATGATTGACAACAGCTGTTTTTTGTATTTGTAATAATTAATCATCACAGAAATAACATTGTTTTCTTGCACTGCAAAACCTGTTTTCCTTGCTCAAAATGTCCTCAATATTTTCACACAAATTTCCGAGTGCTAACCCCATGTGTGATGAAATCTCTGCATTTCAGTTTCATACAAAACAAATTTAAGTTTTGCAGATATTACCATAGTTAAAATAAACATTATCTATTTAAAACCCTGCTAGAAAACAAAAACAATATTTGGTTTCATATGAAGTTTAATTACTCATAATAAGACCTAAAATTGTGCAGCAAAACATATAATTCCCCATTAACATCTGAAACTACTGTATGTTGTCAGTTAATGAATAAATACGATGCATCTGTGTTTATATAAAATTGATGCAATGACCGGTCCTTTCCATTAACACCAACAAGCATGGAGTTGACAATTCACCTGGAGGATGATTTTCGGGAGTATATTTGATTTTAAAGCAAGATAAAGTTTAGACAACAACATTCAGATAACAATGATACTGCCAAGCTTGTACATGTCAATATAAAAGTATCTTACAGTATTAATTATACTGTTCTTTAATAAAACCTGTCTAACATGAGCTGTCTGCTATTCATTGCCGAGGACATTGTTGCTGCTGTTACTGTTGGCAAAGTAATTACGCCAAAGCACATTCTACTTCCATGGGTAATCAAAACTCTGAAGGTAATGCTGAGCTCAAAACTTTAAATCGCTTGGGCCACTCTTGTTCATACTCAACCTTGGAGGAGATTGACACTGGGCTGGGTACCGACAAGATGGAACATGTAGATATTGATGAAGTACCTCTTCCAGCAAGCATCCATCAGTCTGTTCCAACTCTACATGCTTTTGACAACATTGACAGACAAGAGGAAGTACTAAGTGGATCAGGGACATCACATTGTTTCAATGGCATAACAGTTCAGCCAACTTCTCTGACATGTATGCCACCCAGATCAAAACCCAATGTGGAGAAGAAAGTGAAGCGGCGAACAATTGAGCCTTCCGATCAGCTACTTCCTATCTGCACTGTCTGGAAAATGGAAGGTCCACAACCAATTGTGCCAGCTGGCCTTTCTACTGAAGTGATAGTCGCAAAAACAAGTGCACACCAGCCATTTCAAGTTGAGTTTCAGATACTTTATTACAGCTACTAGATAAGGTGAATTTGCAGTTGGCACCACAGAAGGTAAGAAACGAATCAACTCACTAACGTATAATTCTTACATAACTTAACTACTTAAGTTTCCAATTTACAGAAAATGTCCAAATGCGAATCGTCCAAATCGTATATCAATGGCTAAAATGAACAGGGCCCATGCATTCACAGAAAAAAAATGATATTCCAATTACAGTCAAGTCTCTTTAATCCGACAATCGGCTTTATCCGATACTAATGATGGGAACCGATTAAATCAGTGCTATTTAGACCCGTTAATCCGACAGTCTCGCACTCCGACACCCACACACTAATTTGCAACGAATTACCGAAATCACTCATTAATCAGTCTCGTTAATCCGACACAGTGATCAGCGTACTCCGTGGTCATCTGCCAGCGAGTACACAGCCCGTGTTTTTATGCGAGACGAATCGGCTGGTAGCTGCATATTACAACGGCTGCAGAGATAAACTTGCTTAACAATAAACAATTAATGCTTTAAATAAAGAAAACTGTATAATTCACATGCTTAGACTACCTCAATCTTATTAAAATCAGATACAAGTTCTCGCTATCGACGAGGACATCCCATTACAGGTCACGTCAGAACAACCTTTCGCGAACTAAGACCTACCAATGATATGATCAACAGGAAGTCGACGTTAGCCACTTAGAAAGCATCTGTCCTAAGCTTTGATTACCAGTTTCAAAGTTGCGACTTACATTCCAGACTATGCTTTTTAAAGTATTTTGAATCGGTCATACAGTCCGTAACAGTTGTACATACTTAAGGTTCTCTTACAGAATACCCGAGTTAATATATATGGAAATGTCGCACCTTGTAACAATGTCATCACCATGATTATGTGTCTTTTCAGGTTGAACTGTTGTGCCTGAGACCAACATCTTATACAATCAGGAACAACTCTAAGATGGCTTCGACATCTCAACCTAAACGGAAACGTATCCCCAGTGATCCAGAGCAAGTGTGAAACATACACGTACCTATTAGATAGTTTAAAGTGTTTTGTTCTGAAAATATCGTAGCAAAATTTAGCTGCAAAAACTTCAACTGACACGCCCTGGCCATAAATAGCACAGAAGGGAATGTCTTTTGCCAACATCAGATAAAATCATATTTTCCCATTCTGATGGAAGCGCGTATTAAATGATTGTATAGTATTGTTGTATAGTGCTAATGACAATTTCGGGTAAAGTATCATGTCAAATGTTTACAATAACGTCAAAACAAATATGTTTCTAATACAAAAACTTCCACTTGAAATAAACGATTGAAACATAGTGGCGTTCTTGCATTGAAGGTAATTAATGGATTTTTTAAAAGTAGTTGATTCATAATATCATCTACATTTTGAAGCAAAGGTATTTTCCTGCCAGTAATTTCATTCCATGCAGATTATAGCTCAGCATAAAAGCTAAGCTGGGAATTAACAAAAGCCCTCAGCAATTTAAGTCTCAGTGTACATTGTTACAACACAAATGTGGTATATTCAAACCACCATCTAAACAAACACCAATACAGGTATCTAATGCTATTTTAGCAGTTTTATTGTGTTTTACTAAACATTTGAGTAAATCTATTCTAAGCCCAGGTACAGGAAGTATAGTGAACGCATACTACAAGAGAGAACTCGTAAGGGTGTTTATTACAATTGCTCTACCCTGTAGGGTAAGCTGTCTACATTACCATGACTGTAACAACGTTTGTATTTTGTCTATTTTCTTTCCCCAAATTAATGTTTCACACATTGCTTTATCCGTGCCAAAATAAATGCCTAATATTTCTACACAATCTTTCTTAATTTTAACCGGGATGTTGATTGAACAGTATTTTCACCCAACAACAAAACTAAATGTTTCTTCGACGGATCCGACATCTGAGACAGTGAATGTAGTGTCATCAGCATGTTGACACATCAAAGAATAAATATCATTGTTGATACTGATTCCATGAATATCGGGATTATTCTTACCTACATGTATAGTAGATTCAGTGTCCCCTATACCAAAACGTACAGCATAGAGCTCATTGGATCTCACTGACGAACACCAAGAGTTAAGGTTAAATGAGCGTCAAATGACCATTACGTTTAACAGAACTTGTTATATCAGTATAGTGAATTTTAGTCCATGAAATTATGAAATCTCCAATTAATGTCTCTTTTGCCACATTCCTTTTATAAAACAAACTAATTATACTCTTTTTCATGGTACGTGAAAGCTTTCTTCGTGTATACAATCGACAACTTGTATGAAGAAGGGACATAAAATGTCCCAAACCTACAAATAAAATTCAACTGTTAGCCCATCAGGGCCATGTGATTTATTCTTCTGTATACCCTTGAGTGCCACGGAAAACTCGGTTACAGGCCGGCAAAGCCACATTTCGAAAATAGATAGCCCAAATTGATGTGGCTCTCGCGGCAATGGTTATGGTTGCGTGATTGTATAATGTGGCTTTCGCGGCTATGCTGTCAAAACATGCTTTGTGATTCTAACGGGTTACCGTATATAACAAAA